ATTTTTTGACTATTTATTTTAAAGAAACAATAAACATTTTTCAAATTTTGCAAATGCAGAAAAGTTTCGGCTGGCTTTTTTTTAAAAAAAGTTTTTTTTTTTATCGCAGCAAAGTGTAATTTAATTTGAAAAAGACAAAATGACTGCTAAAATTAACCATAATCTAAAACACGCTTTTTTTCAAATTTTTGATAAAATTTCTCTTCTATACAATTGGTTGTGGGACTTTGAAATTCCAGCAGCTTTTAGTTTATTTCGTTAGAAGAAAGTCATCACCTCTCGAAATTTTAGAAATTTGAATTTTTGGCATCTTATATTTCGGAAACTGTAAGCTTTTCCGACTATCTAAATGTAAGCAGCTAACGATAAATTCCATGCCATCAAAAAATATGCATAATTATTTTCTTAATTTACTCAATTAAACTATAAATTCGATTTGCTAACACTTCTTTTAATTTTTTTTTCATCCTAAATATATGCAATTTCTGAAACATTTCAGTATATGAATGAATAATTTAAAAAATGTAGAATATTCTTTTAAAAAGCAGCACTTTCTTTCACTTGTCGAAGGAAAAATTGCTAATTTACAAAGCATTGATTTGACTCAATTTTATTTTATTTTTGATTTTTATTAATTTTTCATTATTTTTTTATTCGTGTTCTTTATTCGATTTATATTGAAAAACAAACAAAATCAAATGATGCGCGAATAAATAAGGTTCTTTCTCTTAAGTTTCCTAATATGGAATAGTTTTGTATAAGAAAGAAAAAAATTTTGCTAAATGGAAAAAAAAACTGATTTATACGCATAAAATATTCGAATAGTTGAATGGACTAGCTACATACATATGTATATGAGAATAATTTGAAAAAACAAAATATCGGCATTAAGGGTTGTCATATTGCCCTTAAAATAACCGTGCTAAGGAAATATTCTTGAAAATGAAAATAATTTCTAAAAGGAGTCCGATGATCCAATGATTTGCAAAACAGTACATTGCCCTTAAATAATTAATAGGAATTTTCTCTACAAGAATTTTTTGTAGCTACATTGATCATGAAAATAAAATATATTAAATTTTTGCATTAAATTTGAAGAAATTGTAAATTTGATATTTTTTTTTGTAAATTACGCATCGAACCCGATATCTATATAGTAATGGTTGATATTAGATTTCTTACGATTTTCGGGTAATAGCCCTTAAAACATGAAATTTTGTGTTAGAAAGCAGAAAATTTGTCACAAAACGTTGATTGTCTCAAAAAGATTCATTTATTTTTCTATTCATGACTATTAAAATAATATTTACATATAAAAAAAAATTTAAGCCCTTGTTATGGAAATTTGTCAGAGAGAAATATTTCAATCAGTGATTTTCTTTAAATATCCGAACTAGCCCTGAACATACAAATTTAAAATTCCTTTATCATTTATATTTAAATGTAGTTTTAAATTTGTAAAATTTTTTATGCCAGCCCAATAATTTTATGTACATGTACATATATAACTATATATCTAATAATATTTTTTGTTCAATTAAAATTCTACAATTACTTATCGACAAAATTTTTAAAACTAATAAAAATGTTTGTTAGTTTTTTTTGGGTGTGTTTTTATTTAAAATTACGATAAATAAATTAAATATTTTAGTGAAGCGTAAAAAATATTAAATAAGTATTTGATTATATTGTGTTAGAAAAATGATTTGAAAAAAAATTTTTTGGAATTTTGAGCTCAGAATATTTTTAATTATTAATTAAATTTATAGTATAGTAATCACTATAGATACTACACATTTATAATGTGAAGCGTTTTACTATAGTGATTATAACAAATCTGTAAAATAGTAAGTATATTATAGCAAAACAAAAAAGACGAAATTGTGAAGTACATATGTAGTTACATTAAATGTATGATTTTAAAAATTATTTTAGATTATCAAAATAAAGAAACATGAATAGTATATTGTTATACCAGAGCAGTAAGTCTTTGCATATGTTTCATGTCTGTCCTGATTGCCATATTATATTTAAAACTACGACATTTACATTATATACAATAAAGAAGGGCATCAGGGCTGGATGTGATCAGAGCGGAGGTTAAACCCAAGATGTTTCGATTAAAACTACCGCTGTCATAACTACTGAACTAGTTGTCCGTGGTTATATTATAAAAATATTATTTAAATTTTTCAATACTTTTAATTTCAAAAATATTTTAATTATTTTTTAATAATTAGCAACATTTTTTTTTCTAATTCCACAAACGCATGTTTTACATACTCTATTCTTTAATACAATAATATCCCGATTTAATAAATTAAATTTATTTTTAATTATAAACATTTTCTTACAATTCCCATTAATTGTATAGGAAAAAGTTCAATTCTTTTGTCATAAGTATATAGAAAAAACATTAGCAATGCTCATTGCGCTACAAATATGTTTTTATATCTTTACTACTGTCTGTTTTTTTTTGTTTTAACTTAAGTGTACAAGAAATTATAGAGTCTCGTCTCGTATTAAATTCATACATTGATACATATTTTTATATTTCGTATCTATACTAGTTTATTGGAAAATTCCAAATTGAGTCTTATTATAGAATTAATCAAGGATGAATTTTCTTTTGAAATCTCTCCCCCCCCCCCCCCCCCATTCTATTATGTCTGGTCTGCATAATATGCAATTTGAAGTTCATACTAGAGATATAAGTAGGTATGTGTGTAATGTAAGTTTTAGCCATATTTTATAAAAAAAATACAAGAGAAATTCAACTGCAATCGAACTTTTAAACTTTATTTTACTTATTTATTATTGTTTTATTTTTGTTTTGTTTTTGTTCATTTTACATTTCAATAAACGTAGAATCACATATGTTTTTTCTCTTTTGGTTTTTCTTCTTCTTTATTTTTATTTTACGGAATTTACTTTTTTTTTCAATTTTGGATCTATGCCAATATAGAAAAGGAAAAAGAAAAAAAAAACAACAACAATTCACAATGATGTTTCAATTTAAATTCATTTATAATTTACGTTCTTATTTCTCTATTTTCTCTTATTATTATTATTACTACTTCCGAAATATTGTTATGGACTTTCATATTAACGTATTATTATTATCTTGTAGAGGTTAACACATTTAGCAAATAAGATGCATGCAAGTTAATGAATGCAAAATAATAAAAAACAAAATATGTATACATACATATATACATATATACACAATACATATGAATGTATGTATATATGTATAAAGAGTGAAGGGGTTTTGTTAATTTTATCAAATTATAAGAACAATCAAAAAGAAAAAAATTTAAAAAAGGTCAAATTAGGAAATGAGAAATTTTATAATAAGTAATTTTTTATTTTTCAACATTAAAATTAAGCACTTATTTTCATTTTTATTATGTTTTAAAATTAAAATTGATGAACTTGGGGATTATTGGCGTACAATCTTCCTATATTGTGCTCTGGAATACACCTATGAATATATTTTAGAGGTTATGTAAATTTATTTTCCATGTTTTTTCTCTTAATTTAAATAAAAATAGCGCAAAATGTTTTTGAACTTTTTCGTTTTAAAAAAAAACATAGCAAAAAATAAAATTACAAAAATATGATAAAAAGGAAAAAAATAATTGATAAATTTTTTAAAACGTAAAAATTTTTTTTTTTTGTTGTTTTACATATAAAGATGACCTTCAACAACAGGCTGTTTCAAAAAGTTAAAATTAATGAGAAATTAAATAAAATTAAAGAGAACGTTCTTAAACAATTTTAGAAAATTCCTTAGTAAATAATTTTAGTAACCGATTTTTGTAATGCTTCTCGCCCTTTCATCTGGTCGGGCTTATTAGCCGATATCATTGTAGATGCACAAATTCAATACAGATAAACATCCTGAATAAGATTTACAAATAAATATATATATATATATATACATATATATATTCATAAAAGAATCTGAATGGGTCTATAAAACTGAAAATTCTTTGTCAAATAACTAAATTTTTATAAACGATTGTTACTAATGTAAATCTTCTTCAAACGGTGTTCTAGATACATTCACAAATAAGCGAGTTAATATCAACATGATATTAATAAAATAAAGTTGTTTTCTTCGATTTAACAAACGGCATGTACATACATACATACATATATTTCTATACAGATTTTGCTAACAATCATATACAGAGTGTCTCGTAACAAAGTGCACTGCTATATGCCATTGTATAGGCCCTTATTAGTAGACAAAATTTTTGTATGGAGACAATGTTCACAACTCAACAAGTTCGAAGTTACAGGGCTTTAATCAAAATATATCATTATTCTTTTCGTCCGATTTATAAGAATAATGCAACGTGAATGCAATATTAGCTTCAAAAATTTGAAGTTTAACTTTTACTTATAATTTATTTTTACTGACTTTCGTTGGTCTATAAATCTTCAGCCATGTGACCAAATACACTAAATTTACATTTTTCTAGATATAGAGAAAAACAGAGAGTTACTATAGCTTTCTTAGAATTAGAAACAAGTATGTTTGAATGACATTTTCATTTGCTTGTGCAACACTTTTCCGAAACTAGGAAATACATTTTGCTGTTGATTATGTACTGAATACATCAGATTTCTTACTTTTCGAATTAATATTTAAAAATCGTACTTGATTTTTACGGATAAATGTCTAGGTCTATTCAGGCTGGTTCATTTATTGATTAGCCAGTTAATTTACAATTCAGTTATAGTTACTAGTTGTCCAAATAGTATAGTTCTGTGATCTAAAATCATTTCTTGGTAAACCACCGAAACCCTAGTCTAGAAGCAATGCAACAATATCAAAATATATGAAATCAACTTTAATTTAGTTTTTCTTTGTCTTTAGTATCATAACTCTTGTTTAAAACTTCGTTCACAATTTTTTAATAGTTAAACATCTTAAATTTTATTTCACATAATTTTTAATCAATTTGATTTTCTTTCTTCCTCCTTAATAGAGTTCCAGCACATAGATTAGTTTTGTCTGCATCTAGTGCTTACTTTGCAGCAATGTTTACTGGGTCACTGAGAGAAACTACAGAAGAAGAAGTAACATTAGGTGAAGTAAACGGTGATGCTCTACAAATTTTAATTCAATATTGCTATACAGGTAATGAAATCTATACATACCTACAACATAGAATTCATATTCACAATTTTCCTTTTATGTTTTTAGGTTTAATAGAATTACGTGAAGACACTGTCGAAACACTTTTGGCTACAGCCTGCCTTTTACAATTGAATTCGGTAGTGACAGCATGTTGTAATTTTTTGGCACGTCAATTACATCCTTCAAATTGTTTAGGATTTGCTTTCTTTGCCGAACAACAAAGCTGTCATACATTATTAAAATTAGCAAGTGCATATACATGTACACATTTTATGCAAGTTAGTATTACTGCAATTGTTTTTCTTTTTATATTACCTTGTTTATTGTGTAATTATTGCTTCCTTTTACTAATACTAAAAATATAATTGATAAATTAGGTTTGTAAAAATCAAGAATTCTTCCAATTGAATGCTGAACAATTAGCGAAATTATTATCAAGTGAAGATCTCAATGTACCTTCCGAACAGGATGTATTTCATGCCTTAATGTCTTGGATTAAACATGATCCAACTAATCGAGAAAAATGTTTTCCTGATTTATTAGCTTTAATAAGACTGCCACATATGCCACCATCGGTAAATATTAACCTTATGCAAAAAATATTATGACTGCATAATAGAAATTTAAAATATTGATAAACGTTTTTTAAATAGTTCATAGCTGACCATGTAGAGAGTCTTTGTGGTTCAATTGACTGCCAACAGTTAGTTATGGAAGCTTTGAAATGGCATTTATTACCTGAACGTAGATCGCTAATATCCACTGCCCGAACAAGACCAAGAAAATCAACTGTTGGTAAAGTTTTAGCTGTTGGGGGAATGGATGCCCACAAGGTATTTAATGATTCCTACTTATAATATTTATTCGGTTTTTACAATTATATAATTTTGAAAAATGTGGTTGTTACTTAATATAGGGTGCAATCAGTATAGAATCTTATTGTCCCAGATTAGATAAATGGAGTTTATTGAGGAATTTAGCAGCAAGAAGACTTCAATTTGGTGTAGCTGTCATAGATGATAAATTAATTATTGTTGGTGGAAGAGATGGTTTGAAAACTTTGAATACTGTTGAAAGTTTGGACTTAAATACAATGATATGGGCTCCATTGAATTCAATGGGTACTCATAGACATGGTTTAGGAGTTGCTGTTCTAGCGGGTCCATTATATGCTATAGGTGGCCATGATGGTTGGAGTTATTTAAATACTGTAGAAAGGCAAGAATAAAAGAATAAAATTAAATATATTTTAAAAATTAAAACTTGATTTTTTTTTCTTTAGATGGGATCCAATAGCACGTACTTGGAATTATGTTGCACCAATGAGCTCAATGCGTTCAACAGCTGGTGTAGCTGTACTTAATGAAAGACTGTATGTTGTGGGTGGTAGAGACGGTTCCGTATGTCACAGATCTGTGGAATGCTACGATCCACACACAAATAAGTGGACTCTCAAGGCACCTATGAACAAAAGAAGAGGTGGTGTTGGGGTAATACAAAAATCAAATCTATAATTTATATGAAATAACAATTTAAAAATAAATTTAAGGTTGCTGTTGCAAATGGATATCTATACGCTTTAGGGGGACATGATTGTCCAGCAAGTAATCCATCTGTATGCAGAACAGAGACTGTAGAACGTTATGATCCATCTACAGACTCTTGGACACTTGTAAGTTATTTTGCTTTTATTTTTGGGCTTGTGATACAATTATCCTTTAAAACAGCCTGTTTTCTTTAAATAAATACCTGACTTCTATATTAAGAATAAAGAACATAAAATGTATACTCGTAAGATATAATATGGAACAAAAAATATTGTTAGAGAAAATCGTACAGTTTGACATGATACAGAATGAAAAATAAAATGATTCTATATTCGAATTAAAACTATTTCAACAATTGTTCTGATGTAAATATTTTTTTTTTTAGATTGCTTCATTAAGTATTGGACGAGATGCAATTGGATGTACATTATTGGGAGATCGTTTATTGGCTGTTGGTGGTTATGATGGTAATCAGTATCTTAAAACAGTTGAAGAATATGATCCAGAAACAAACGAATGGACCTCATTGTCACAATTAAATTATAGTCGAGCTGGTGCTTGCGTTGTAACAATACCAAATGTTATACCACCGACACCACCATTAACTAGTTCAACGGTTTAATATAATTTTATTTTTATTATTTTTTTTTTTTTTTTGTTTTTTATTCTCGTTATGTCCTAGTTTGTTTTTACATATTAAATAATTTTTTTCTACTATGAGTTTACTAAACGCATGCTTATATAAATTTAAAAAAAAAATATTATTTCGGAATACTTTCCAAAATTTAAATATTCGGACACATAAGGAAGAAAAAACAAATGTGTGTGTGTTGCACTAATTTTAAATGCAGCGAAAATTTTTCTAAGATATTTTTATACAAACAATTTTTTTAAATAAGTTTAAGTATATAAAAATTATTCAATCAGTATTAAAAATTCAAAATTATTAAAAAACCATAAAAAAATTAGCTAATAAGAAATAAATAAAACACAAGAATTTGGTAGAGGCTGAGCTTTAAAAAAAAAAACTTTTTTCAATATTTTATTACAAAAAAAAAAGGAAAAAAAAAAACAAAAAAATATTTTAAAAAAATTATTTATATTAAAAATGGCTTTGTGTTAAAATACTGTTTATGTAAAAATTTTGCAGAAATTCACTAATACTAATATTAATTTTTAATTTAATTTTTAATTTTAATCGCTTTTCTTTTATTTTTTTCTTCATTTTAATCTTTTTTTGTAATTTACTGTAGAAGAAATGGAGGCCCGTGCGGATTAATCCATATTCATTTAGACGTAATGGAGATATTATTAGTAACTACAATTTATGATCAATGAATTTTAAATACGTATAATTTTATGAACACAAAATTTTTCTATTTAAATGTAAAATTTGAATTTTTTTATTTTTTTTTTTATATACAACTTAGAGTGAATTCAATACGAAACATGAAATACATTTACAGTCATTTGGATTGCATTTATTTGGAAAGTGAATAAAACAAATTTGTATTGATCGAAATTGTTTTTTTTTTTTCAATTATCAATTAAATCAAATTTTGTTACTTTCATAATTGTTTAATTTCTTTAAAATGAAGAAGCTAAACAAACAAAAGCATAAATCTATTGACTGTAACTAAAACTCGAATTAATTTAATTAATTTTAATTGTATGAAAATGTATTTTTTTTTTTTAATTTATAAGTGAAATTATTATTCAAATTATGTATTATTAAAATATATAATATAAATATATTTAAAAAAAAAAACATAAGTGATATTGAATTATCAAAGAATTAATTTACTAAATTAGTCCTAAAAGGGAAAAATTACTTTTAGAATAACTAAAAGATTTAATTAAAATTAATTGGTGAAATACACAAATTTAAATAATATTTAATACCTAATATCTATTTTAATATGATTTCTGTTTTTATATAATAAGCCTGAATATTTAACCCACAAATTTATTAAAAAATTAAATTCCATTTAATAAACTTTTATGCATATTTTTCATTTTTAATTTAGATTAGATTCACAGTATACTCTAAATAAAATGAATATGGTAGATTTAATTTGAAATTTAGGGAGATTACAAGATTAAAAACAAAAATTTATTTTAATTTATGTAATAACAAAGATAATAAAATAATGCCAATTAAGAGCTTTATTATCCCAAAAATTTCAGTAAAAGTAGCATTTTATAAAGTAATATATTCTTTTTAAAGAATTAAATCCATTTTATTAAATTTTTATGTAATATTACATTTGTTTATGGCAATTTAAAAACCTTTTTTTTTTTTATTGAGGTTGTCTATTTTGTTAATCACATGAAAATAAAATACTATTGTCGTTTTAAAGTTTAACAAATTTGAAAATTGTCATTTTTAAAATTGCATTTTATTTATTATTCAAAATAAAAAGAACACTATTTAATCTTTCTTTTTACAATTTTGTGCATTATGCAAAAAAATCATGTTTCTAATGCTGGAAAGAATCATTTTTCTATCATAAAAAAGGATTAAAATATTTCCGAAATTTTGATATAATTGTAGTTAAAAAAGAACAATCAATTTTAATGGCACAAAGTTAATAGGGATCTCATTAACCAAAAACTAAAATATCTTATCATTAGTTTTAAAATTTTTAATTACCATTCATTGATATTGGATATTTAATATAAGGTGGTAAATAATGAAAACTTAAATTGAATATGAAAGAGAAAACTAATATTAAATATTTAGCAAGTAGTCTCAAAAAATAGCATTTATCATTTTCGAAATTACAATTTTTCTAAAATTTTAAAATATAAAATAAATATTCAATATATATATATATTAACAAATAAAAATATAATTATTAGGTCTTCCCAAAACTACTGCAAATGAACTAAAATGTAATATTTTTAAACATATTAAAATTTATTTTATACGTATATTATGTATTATTTTACTAATAATGTTAAAAATGAAAATTAACTTAGAAAATGTGAAAAATAAAACATATTCCACTTATTAATAATAATTAAAGGAAAACTTTTAATTAAAATAAAAACATATTACATAATACAATATACGAAAGTATTTTTTCATGAAAATTTTAAAAGAAGTTTTATTTTTATATCAAGTGAACTACGGTCTATTTTTAATGCTTTTACTTTAAAATTGATTATTTTGTGTACAAAAGAGGAAATCAAAATTCTATTAAGCTAAAAATATTATAATTAATAATTAAATCCATAAACAAGATAAAAGAGAAAAGATTTTAGCCCAATTTTTATTTAATTGTGTGTTAACGTGTATTTTTGCCAAACTGAATTTTATAAAAATTTCTTTAAATATTTATAAAATTTTATTTTAACCATAGAATATGAAATGAGTTTTTGGAGTTGGAATGAATGATGATGGAATGATTCTTATTTATTGAAAAAAAAATCTAATTTAAGCTTTTGCCTAAAACATTTTAGGTACTTGAAGTACCACATACTCACAATTCTTTTATAATGTTTATAGATATTCTATTTCAAATAGAATTTTAGATCTAGTGATAAGCCTGAATTGAAAATTCTTTTAAAAACAGCATTCAAACAAAGTTTAAGAAAAAAATTACTTTAACCTTAAACTAGAACATAAGGCATGTATTAATTTCTTTTTGGTATTTTGGTTACAAAGCAATATTGTCCTTTAAAATATCCTACAATCATGTATACTAACATGAGTATGAGTCAATTAAATCTATAAATGTATATATTTCTTATAGAACATTTAACAGATGATAAAGAAATTATTTTTCCTTTAAAATATTTTTTTTCCCTGTTGTCTAATTTTAAAGAACTTAAAAGACTAAATAAGAATATACGAGTATATTTGTACTAAATCGTAAATTACGAATGGAAGTTAATTAGTTATTCAATTTCTATCGAAGTTCAAATCTAAATAATAAAAAAGAAATGACATTTTTATGAAAATTTACTGTCAACTTAAGCACTTAATGCATTTTAAGGAACCAGCTTTGTTTTTGAATGCAAAATATAACTCTGGCACAATTTTAATATTAAGACACATATCTGGTATTTGACTGTACCAATCTTTTTCGGATCTTGGTATTGGAATATAATTTTTGCACAACAGTGTTGAACACTGATTTTCCACACAAATTTTAATATGTTTGTAGCCAATTTTCAATTAATGATGTTGCATAAGTCAGTATGGGTTTTCTAAAGCAAAAATCGAGTTCTGTTTAAAATAAAAATTAAGCAGGATGTTAATAACAATTAGGCAATTGATTTGAAATTTTCATTTGCAAAAATGTTTTTACACAAACACATTTTTGTAGATAATATGGCGGATTTTCGAAAATTTAGATGTAAATCTTGAAATGATTTTTTTTTAATACTGCAAAAATATTTAAAATTTAAAAAAAAAGCACATAGAAAAATATAAGATATTAAAAATCTGAAAGCAAGTTAATTAGTTGCTGTAGATCTGTTAAGATACAAAAAAGATCTATGTTAGATATTTAAGTGCATGTCTAAATTATTTAAAATCCCGATGGATTTTTCCGTCAATTCTCGTACATTAAACAAATTATTGTCTTAAGGTTCAATGTTTTTATATTTACTTTTTTCCATAGTCATCCTGCTATGAAATAAGTATGTACGTTTACTGTTTTAGTACGTAATTATGGGAATCCCACCAAAAATTCTATGAAAACGAGATTGATGACAAATTGCTCATATATCATCTTATAATTAATTTATAACAAATTAGGTTAAATTAAAGATATTTTTAAAAGGAAGTACATAATTTAAGATACGAGTGATTGAAGTGTCATCTTCAATTTTTACGAAAATTGGTTTATTGCATAAATAAAAGTTTTCTATGTTTATCTTTCATATGAAAAAAATTCGGTTTTCCCAAAAAGGATTCAGTTTAAGAGATAGCTTGTCTCTAAAAGGTTCACACTTTTTAATTATTTTGCTTTGAAAGAAAGTTAATTTGTTCGAAAATTGTAGTTGACACCTTCATTCAGTAGTGTCTTCATGTCTGAAAGTATTGAAATAAAAAAAACAAGTAAATTTGTTTTAATTTTTATACTCAAAAAAAAATTTTTTTTTACAACTTACAAATAAATGAATGGTTTTTTTGAATTCAGTTAACGATTTATGTTTATTTTTTTTTTCAATGTAGGTATTAATTTTATTATGCTTTAAATTTTGTAACTAATGCTAAATTATAATTTCATATGAAATTTTTATTTTAATATTAATTTACTTAGTGAATTTGAATGATTTTTTATATATATATATAATATATGAATTTTTATAATGGTTCATACTTTTTTTTTTAAGTGAATAGACATGAAAAAATTTACAAATGCATTAAATTTTTAAATTTTTATTTGAAAATTAGTTTACTTATTTTAATTTTAAAATGATTTTCCTTATTTTTATTTTAATGGTACAAAAATTCCCTATAAAATATGATAGAATACGAGACACAAACATAGAAAACCATAAATTTACTAAGAAATTGTTTAACAATAATTAAGTATTTTAATCAAAGTAATATTTAATTATTATTATAATTTCATACATTTTGAATGAGACTAATTGTTTAAATTTACCAAAACAAAAATAATTCCACTTTTCTAAACCAAAAACAATAAAATTTTGTAAAACAAAAATTTTCAATCTTTAATTTTTTTCTTTAAACTAAAAATTTTCTTTTTCAAAATTAATGTATGTTTATTAAATAAATATGATATAATACGTTAAAAATAAAAGTTATTTTTTGTTTTGTTAAATGAAATATTAACCTTATAGAAAAAAAAAAAAATTCCTAAAGAACAAATGGGAAAAAAGATTCATTTTTCTAAATAAAAATTAAAGAAGCAAAAAATTAACTATAATTGAATAATTTCGGTGGAATAAAAATGAAAAAGAATTTATATGTATATTTTAATTTTATAATAAAATCATAAGCCTATAAATTATTATTACAGATTCTTATAGTTAAAGTCTTATATTTTTTTTTTTAATTAAAATAATTATTTAAAAAATATTTCTGAATCAATCTTTGAAAAGGCCCCTTGCTTTGGCAGTTATTTTTCTAACCCTACCACGACTGCTTATACTAACGGTGTGTTCTTCATTATCAGTATCATCATCTATGCTATTTGGATCAACATGATTGCTATTACTACTACTACTAGGTGCAGCTAAACGTTGTGCTCTGCTATTGTAACCAGAATTTGACTGAGGAGGTTGTGACACTATAGCAGATGGCGTTGCTGTTATGTTATTATTTACTATTGTCGTCCGTTTTTTAATTGCATTGTTTTCATTAGAATCATCGGAGTTTTCATTATAATGCGGCCTTTTCGCAGAATTACGTTGCCTCAAACCTAGAAAAAATAACAAAAAAAAAAGAGAAAAATTATTTTTAAATTCTTCTTGAAAAATTAGGTTAATTATTGCGATTTAAAATTAATTTAACAAAAAAACCTTCAAATACCTAATAATTGAGTTTGAGCATTACGCCTTAAGTTTACCAATGGGTCATTATCATCTATGTTGCCAAGATCTACATCATCGCTGTCTTCGTCAGAAATATTACGTCTTAGTCGTCTTTTTAATCCTGTTGAACTCATTACTGTAGAAGATCCCGTTGCTAAGTGATTGGAAGATGATGTTATAGCTGAAGCAGTGCTATTATTATTTATAATATTACTAACACCGTTTGCTACACTATTAATAGTTCCCCTTAGTCCTACGCGACGGGTTGTTGAATTAGCAGCTACAAATGTAAGAGGTTGATTATCCTCTGAATCAGTCTGTTCTTCTTGATTGTGATGCCTTCTTGTACTACTTGTCAAATTACTTGTACTATGGTTAATATTTCTATTCGATCTTCTTTCATTTACTTCATCCTCTTCAATGTCATCTCTATATCGCGGATGTGTTCTATTTTGTCGTAAATTACGTGATGTTATTGTAGGATTTATACTTGTGGATTGAGGAACTGCTGCAACAGTGTCACTATTAAGTAATGGTGTTGTGCTATTAACTCCACCGTTTCTTATTCTACGACGCGAATTGATGGTATTCGAGGAACCGCTTACAAAACTATTCATGTCAAGAGGATCAGCTTCGTCACCAGCTAAAGAATCTAATTCATCCGCATTTCTTTGATGCCTGGACAGCATTCGACGTGTATTTGCCCGCAGATTTGAGGAGCCTGGTTCTCCATAATTATGATCGTTGTGTATATGAGAATGCGCATTTCTTATTGTTGTTGTTGTTGTTGAGGATGACGCAGCCGCTGCTGTTATAGATGAGCTAGAAACTGTATCTAAATTCGAAGTTGAACGGGTGGCGTGATGATATAAAGAAGTAGAAGTACTCGGTATTGCATTTGCACTTCGACGATTAGCTATACTTGGATTACTTTGACGACTAAGATTTGTATTTGCATTTACTCTTATATCTCCATTTTGATTTGTTATATTACCTAATATAAGAAGTGAAAACATTTATTAAACTTAATTTTTATTTATAATGAATGAAATTGAAAATATTAGTACAGTTAGAGTAATATCTTACCAATATTACGAAGGTTTCGGGAACGCAAGGCTTGTTGACTTGATGCTAATGGTTCGTTATCGGAAGAAGAATTTGTTTCACTTGTATCTGGCATGACCCGACTGTTCCTATTTGTCCTAACAGTTCTTAGCGGAGCAGCGATATTGGGTAAATTTTGCCTCTGACCAACGGTTTGGAGCATATTTCTTCTACCTAATGCTGTAGTTGCTAATGGATCTTCCAAACTTTGCTCTGAATCACTTGTCTTTTTTCGACCTCGACTTTTAGTATTTTGCTAATATAAAATAATGGGAAAGGTTAAAAATAGAAACGTAACATTTTATTACACTACATGTAAAGGCCTTACATTTCCTTTCTGCCTTTGATTCCTAGAAGAAGGCAGTTCTAATATTTCCGGTTCATCTTGTCCATCATTTTCGTCATCGTCATCTTCATTACTACCACGAGCCCATTCCATTAATGCCTTTTTAGCACTTAAACGTGTGGGTCTCGAAGTCTGTTCCTCTGTGTCCGATTCGACAATAACTCTTCTGCTATTTCTAGCCCCAATATGATAACTGTGATCAGATTCAGCTCGAGAAGCACGGGCCCCGCCTCTTGTACCTCTGGACGTTGTTGGAATATCTGGCGATGGCGACAAGTTCAGATCATTTTCACTATTATCTTCACTTGCATTGCGCAATAATGCTATTTGTGAGTTTTTACTTGGTCTACCACGTTTTCTAGGAGTCGTTGTATTTTCATTCGTAGTTTGCGTTTGTAAACCTCTGGAAGAACTTCCCTCATTTTCTGAAGACATTACTTTTTTGCGCCCTCTTCTTCCTCGAGTTTTCTTTTCATAGCTGTTACGTTTTAACTTAGTTCTTTTTTCAATTTCAAAATCTTCATCGTCGTCTTCTTCATCTTCATTCTCTTCGCTTGTATGTGACATAACTCTTCTGCTCTTTTTGGGTGCTTTACGCGTCTTTTTGCCCTTTTTACGAGGTAATTCATCTGGCTTTTCTAACTTGCGTTTACGTTTTAAGGATTTCTTCTTTTTATACTGATATCTTGGGTTATAACTTTCTTCAGAATCGTCACCAGCTAACGCGCGCTTTTGTGCAGCAATTCGTTTTGCTCTTGCGCTGATTCCTAATTCGGAAACAGGTATTCCGCGACTTTCATCTGTTTCATCATCAGAATAAGACGTATCATCTGTTGAATTGGAATCTTGTGATCCAGTACCATTTGAATCATCTTCTTGACTATTTGGTCTTGAAATAACACGTCGCAAATTACGACTACTAGGTCCGGGTTGAGGTTCATTTTGCATTGTTGAAGAAACACCATTGGAATGAGAACTACTACCACTCGTAACACCACTTCGAACATTTTTATTATTTCTACGTAATTTACGCCGATTATGATCGCTATCATCATCATCATCGTCATCATCATCATCATCATCTTCATCGTCACGATTTCCCCCATATTCATCATCGTTATCGTCATCATCTTCTGATATATTCTTTCGACGTGAGTTGCCGTTAGATGTAACTTTTCGTGTTGAGGGACCAGGTTTATTTCTATCTGGTTTTTTCTTTGGACTTTTACTATTCTCTTTTCGCCTACATGATGCTTTCCAATTTAAAAGAATATCCTTTACATGGGTTTCAAACAAAGAACTTAATCTTAATGTCATTGAATAAATCTAAAAATAACAAAAAACATCAGAAAAACTCCGTGAGTGAAAAAATCATACATAAAATTTTTATTATTTATTAATTACTCGTATTATCAATAAATAATAATTTTTATATTCAAGAGAAAACAATAACTACACACTAAATGATTTACATAATGATGTTCGGCAAACCAAAATTACACGATATATGAGATTCAATTATCTTTTTAGAAAACAAAAAAGTGAAAAAGGAAAATCAAATAAAACAAATCAAAAGATGCCTTCCCAACCGTTTAAGATAAAAAATTTTTAAAATTCAAAAAAAAATTGTTCTTCTTTTTCAAAATATAAACACGAAATCAACTAAATTTGGGAAAGTTTATATACGGAAAAAAATAATATACAAAATTGGCAAAAAAATTACAAAATTAGTTTTATATAAAAATGAAAAAAAAAAAGAAAACTCTAAGAATAATAAATAGAAAAAATTTCCAAAAAAATCTTACCGATGATGCTATTGGATCCTATATTTTTTTTACGGTGGAGAAAGCATAATGATAAAGATGATTATTAATGAATAATTCGATATGAAGTGCAAAATTTTAATGAAAAATTAACAACATCTATTATTACTTTTTCAAATTATTTTATGTGAAATGTGGCACAAACTTAATGGTCAATAGCGTTATTCGATTCAACTCAAATAATTTGATATTTGTACCATCAAACCGAAATCGTTTCTAACTTTGTTAAAAAAAAGCAGCCTAACAAATAAGAATTTTGATATAATTCGACTTAAAGCTTGAGGAATAGTGAAATAATTTTATTTTCCACTTAAATAGTGTATTTCGAGAGTAAATTGTTTTCTAACAAAAACCAAAATCATAATCTGCACAATTAAATTGTGTCACTATTGACCACCATATTTGACACATCCTGTAAATTTTCTTAAATTCAAAATGAAGAAAATAATAAATTATACAAAAAAAAAACTAAAATAGCAAAAAAAATATACCTCTAATTTTATAAATTGACCTACAATCAAAATTGAATTTCGTTTGTTTTATCGAGTCAATTTTAATAAGATTTTTAAAATAGGAAAGTTAGGATAAATTAATTTTTAATTTAATTTTTAAAATTACTTGTGAAAATTAGATATGTGTGATTAACTATAATCAAAATGAAATTATTTTTTAAGATTAACAAAAAAGTTTAAATTTTGAACATTGAAGTATGTACACATAAAATTCTTGACACCAAATTTAAAAAGATTTCATAATAAATTGCAAAATTTCATTACGAAAAATATAAAACTTACGCGTGACCTCTTGTTGGTATTGTAATTTCGAGAATTAGAAAATATTAAACGAACATCTTTGACGAATTCCATTGGAGTTGAATAATTTTCTCCTATCAAATCTTCTTTAATTGTTCTTAAATCCATGGGTGTGTCAATTATTTGTAAATAATCTGGATGATCTAGTGTATCCACAGGCTCTCTAAAAGGCGTGGAATCATCACACTGCCATAATAAGTCTAATAGTTCGCGACATTGAACTTTCCAATCTGAGCTTGATCTTAGCCTTTTGGACCTGAAATAAATTATATTAATATAATTTATGTATTATTATAAAAGCTCTTAAAAATTCTAAGGGATCTGAAATATTTTTATTTCTGAACTTTACACTTTAAGGATATATAAAAAAAATTTATTTTTAGACATTTTATTTGCATAAGAAAAATTAACAATGAATTTTTACTGTTTTTAAAAAATGTAAAAATAGCATTTTATACATTTTACCAGTTTTCTTCAGAAAATCTATTTAAATAAGTTCAAGAATTTTTAAAAATACAAAAATCCATACCTTCTGGAACCATTAGTTTGTGTTATAGATGGTCTAGCTGTGCTTGTAGATGGTCCAGCTTCGTTATCATCCTCAGATTCTGAAGAGATATATGTGTCAACCAACTGATGGTAGACAGCGTTTACATCAACTTCCGTAGTTGCACTAAAATTTAAAGATTTTATTAATTGCATTAATTAATATTTTTTTCTTTGATAGATACCTTATAATTCTCAAACACAAATCTGTAATTATTCTTGCATTTCTAACGATTTTACTATGAGATTTATTGAATTTTTCAGCGTTTGTAGCTAAATATCTTACATCAAACTGAGCTGACGTTATCCGTCTATAAAAGTGGTTTTCAAATCTAGCTTTAATTGTAGTAAGATCAATTGGATATTCAACATCGTATGCATACGAAGGATATATGCTCAAATCAACAGGAGCCAAAAATGGATCTGCTATAGCTAAACCCATTACTTGTTCCAAGCCAGCTATAATTCTTCTACAGGAAGCTTCCCGATCTCCTCTAGGCCATTCTTCTGCTTTTGGTTGGTAAAGTGTTGATCTTAATTCTTCTGGCAAAACTTGTACTGCTCCGCCCATTTCGTCTGGTAAACGATCTTCATTTATTGGTTCCATATCCCAAGGACTCATATATTCATATTCACCGTTATCCCAACGCACACGGTAGCACATAAACCTTGAGTCTGGAAATTCGGGTGACAGTGCATGCCTCGATTCGATTTGACCCACCCACCAACAATCTTCAATCATGCACCTAAAACGATCACCTGGACTCCAATCTCGACGAACTGCGGTTTCGTACGTCTGCCTTAGCACCAAAAAATCAAGAACGTCAGGCATGTCATGATATTTAATTGTGAAAGTTTTTCCAGTCATATCGCCAGAAGTGTTTATCAATGCTAACTTTAAGCAACATAAACGTGGAGGCCGAATTTCATATTTTATACCAATAACACGAACTAGTTCATAATCTCGCAACTCTATATTATTCCAAGGCTCTGAACTCCGAGTTAAATTATAAACTTTCTTTTGTCGAACCGCATCCAAATATTTCGCATGACCTTGCCTAAAGTAAACTATTTCGTCACCCATTTGTGGATAATATGGAGCTTTACGTGGCACAACCTCTGATAGCCACTCTGGTGGCTTATAAGCTTCTGGAATTTCCCCATTTGGCGGAACTTGAATTTTTTGTTTTTTTCTCGGTCTAGGAGAATCGTTACTTCTACCACCTTTTGAAGCAGCTGATGTACTTGGACCTGCTTGTTGACAATTATCCTCGCTACTGCTGTCTGAATTACGTTGCATTCTTTTGCGTTTGGCTCGTTTTGGAGGTTCTAAATTTGGTCCGGGTTTATCTGCCACCCAGTCTGAATAATCTGAGCTTTCTGTTTCTGAACTACTAGATTGATTTAGAATTTCCTCATTAATATCGCTGCAATCTGACGAAGAAGAACTACTCTCGTCTTCTTCGTCATCCTCGATTCTAGCAGGACTTGGCTCGTTTTGCTCTTGTTCCCTCACAGCTCTTGTTCTGTAAGAAGCAGGTGCTCGTCTTTCATAATTTCTTCCTCGACCAGGACCTCTTCTTGCCATGCGACCTGTTAGAATTTGTAATGGTGTACTAGAACTTGCTGTATTAATCATAATTGGTCGTTTTCTCATTTCGCGTCTATATATCTCAAGTTCAACTTGACCAGCAGCATGAACTGTTTGTTTGATATTTTGCAAAATCGCATAGTTCATAGGCCTTACATAAATGCGTCGTATGTACTTAAAAGTTTCTCTTTGCCAATTTCCACTACTTTGCCGCACACCTTCAACATCTCCAGTTCGACGTGGTCCTGTTCTTTGAGTACTTCCAGCATTAGAACTGGATGCTCTTGGGGACCCATTTAATCTGTGACCCTGCCCATTATTTTGATTTAATATATTGTTAATGTTATTCATTGGGTTCTGATTGTTCTATAAATATACAAAAAAAAAAATTTTTTACTATGTACTTATTATATTAAAAATATTTTATAACTTACTCTGTCATTGTTTGAATCTGGCACATCTTGCCTATGACGATTTGCTAAAGCTTCAATAAGAATATCCAAATGAGAATAACTTGAACCATCAACAACTTCAACTCCTTCAGGCCCGATTGAAATATTTGGAACAAGCTGCTCTGAAGTACAATTCTCCCTGCCAGGCACAAGTTTCTGATATGCTGGAGGATAAGGATTTCCGTCTATATCCACCAAAAATGGAGGTGGCATCAAATGAGGCATAAGTTGCGTTTGTTCATCCATAACATGATGATTGCTATCACGCAATAACGGGCGATAATCCGTATGAAAGAATAATTCTTTAGGTATAGATTTAAACCTTTCATGCCCATCTCCAAAACCAAGCATCAAAATATGTCCGTGTGAATCGGTGGCTGCAATCATACTACCATCAGGTGACCACTTTGCATCAAATACGCCCCCGTGACCTTGTCCATCAATATTATTCACAAAATGTGCAATAGAAGTGCCAGCTACGATATCCCAAATAAAAAGCTGCCCATCGTGACCTGCTGACAAAAGAACGCTTTCATCAATTGGATGCGACTCTAAAACGTAAAGTTCATCTTTATGCCCTCGTAAAACTTTATGTAGTTTTCCGGTTTTAGCGTTCCAAATTTTTATCTGGAATTTCAACAAAAACAATTAATCTCAAAAATAAGAAATCGCTAAATGTAAACTTATTTACCGAAAAATCATTAACAGCAGTAATAACCCATTGATCAGAATAGTCCCACGAAACCATAGTCACTTTTATTTTTTTACCTTCCTCAAGTTCAGGGCAAGTCATTAATCGTTCATTCATATTTAATTTGAGAGATTTCCACTGCTGTGATTCAAATGTCCAAACATGAGCTGTTCCATCTTTACTACCTGAAACAAATCTCAAACCCTGGTGTGCCCATTGTATTGAATCAACAGCATCTGTATGCGCTTCCGTTTCAAGAATTCGTTTAGGGCCCTCCTCTTGCATAATATATACCCTAACGTGATGATCTGCGGAGCCGGCGGCTAAAAATATTCCCCCAGGAGAAAACGAAGCACAAATCATTTGTGCTTGTCCAGGTCTTAGCTTCTCATGATATTGAATTGGTTTTGGAGCAAATATTGTTTTTGCTCCTCTAGGTGTTGTATATTGCCAAAACGCAACTGAACCGTCTGTACTTGTAGTGACTAAATATTTCAGATCTCCCCGAGGTGATGGGCAAAAGTTTACTGATGTGATCATGCCAGTATGACCAGTTAAAACTGCTATTGGTGCAGTTGTTTGTAAATCCCAAACGCGTAAAATTCTATCTAATGAGCCTGCTGCTAACAATGTGTTATCTAAGTTTATTGCTATGTCCGTTATTTCCGCAGACGCTCCACGAAAAGTAGCCAAAAGACGACCGTCAACAGCACTCCATAATTTAACGAGCAAATCATCGGCGCCTGTTATTATATGTCTACCAGATCTATCAAATAAAACGCAATAAACAGCGGAGAGGTGACCTAAGGTCCGGCGTAACAGTTTTGTTTTACTATAAAAATTTGTTGGTATAATATGTTTTCGACGGATACATCCACCAGTTTCTCTGCCTATCAAAACTTTTACTAAAATTTAGAAATAAGTATATATATATAAGTTTTGTTAATCTTATATTAATTTAAGTTATTTCATTCTTACATAAATTATGTGTTGGCTTGCATACGACGGAATCAGGTAATGGCATCCCATGAATCCTTGTACAATAATCTAGCAGGGATCTTGGTCGACATACACTTTCTTTTGTTCGTAGCAAATTTTGCCTGCCACTTCCTAGCAATGAAGCAATTCCAGAAACACTTGGTGGAATTTCTTTGTCCAAAATTGGTCCAATCCGACTGCATATTTCTAATAAATGTTCGGCGCCAATATGAGGATATTTTCTTTCCTGTAAATGAAAATTAGATATTGACAACAAATTAACATGAAAACATACATACATATGTACATACTCGTATTATCGATTAAATAAAATTAGGTCTCTTCGCGAGATAAAAATTAAATTTTAGCCTAGTTATTTTACGACAATTTACAGATTTTTTTACCGTCTCTTTTTAATGCTGTGACGCATCTCAATCAAGCACGAAGTTTCAAACCAAGAAAAAGGCTTGCTACATACATATATGTATATAAAGTTCGCTACACTTTTTATACACGCAAATGTTCGACGTAGCTCGATTTTTCTTTTAAACTGTATGGCTTGCTTTTAAAATAACGCAAAAAAAAATAATTAATTTAAATATGAGAATCAAGAAATCAACGAACAACTGGTTTATTTTTTTAAATATTTTTTGAATTTATTTTTCTTTTTTACGAAGCAGTTTAATTATTAAAAATTAAGTTTACTGAGTTAAAATTTTATTTTTGTTTCGTGAACAACTATCCAAGTCGTCTCTAAAAACGAGTGTTATAGAAATGTTTAAAATTTTGAAAAACATTTGACAATCACTTTTATTTTTAAAAATAATTTTACACATCTATAGTCTACACGCATACATAAAATCTAGCTTTCGTGCTTTTTTCCCATTAAATGTTTTTAAACAGTTAGTTCACACAGTTTACAGATCTCCTCATATGTAAACGTTTAGTGACAAAAAAAAAACGGTAAAAAATATATAGTTAAATGTTTTTCGTAAGAAAAAACTGACATAAAAGCATCATATGTTTATTTTGAATAAACAGGTTTTATACGCGGTATGTTTCGCCAAATTCAATATATAAAGTAATTTAACACAAATTTTTATTGTGTTCAAATTTTATACTTTAAACATGTTTTTACTATTAACAAAATTTTAAAACTTAACAGACATAAATTTCAAAATTCATTAGTTCTGTATTTTTATATATTGTTCTACACGAACTTGCTAGTAAAAACTTTAAAACATATTCCTTATAAGAGTAATTTTAAATAACTTTCATCTTTCAATAAATGCACATTTCAAAAAGAAATTGTTATAATTTTTTGCAGACATTGCTTTTAAAATAACGCAAATAATAAAAATCAATATATCAATATTACATACTACATCAACATTGAGAATAAAATTAGGTGTGTACATACAAGTTTCTTTGATGCAGTTTAAACTAATTTTAAAAGAGAGGAATGACTATCTTATCTGTTTTGTAATTTTTACAATTATAAATTAACAGATAAATTCATTTGTCGATGCTAATATGATGCACAATTATGCTGAAAACATGATATTAAAAATGTTTAATGATGCATCATAATTGAAACATGTTTTTTAATTTTATGAATGTCACTGTACTAAAATTTAGGGATATAACACACTTTTTTTTGGTTACCGTTATTATTGATTATAGAAAACTCTTATAATTTGTATTGTGTGAACTCGTGTTTCATGTTGGTTACTTGTTCACGAGTACGCATGCCTACAGAAATAAGATATCTAAACATACACATTCTAATCAATATGTCTGTATAGATACGTGTCTCTATAAGTTTCCATTTAAGCATTTCAAAATCCATAATTCATTTACACTAAAAGAAAGAGAAAAACAATTTCTTTAAACGTGTGTTAGAACGCGAAATTTTAAGTACAGATCTGAAATTAATGCAATGTAAATGTATGTGTGCTATCTGCGGTTACAGAAACTTAAATGTGTGTGCGCTGTGTCTGAATCTTATGTAAAACAAAACAATGAACGGAATTCAAAATAGAACATGGCGAATTATAAAATTTTTTGAAAATTAAAATTCAAAATAAATTTAATTAAATAATTCTAACTTTTTGATTTTTTTTTTTAGTTTCAAAATTATACAAAGAAAAAAAAAATTTTTTTTTTTTTTTTAATTTTAATTTTTTTAAATTTTAAAATTTAAATCCCTTTTTTTAAATTTATTCAAAAATTAATTAAAATTAAAATTTAATAATTAAAATTCATAAACACTATTAAAATTAATAAATTTTAAAATCCTTTGTTTTTCTTACACTCAATTCAAAATGGCGTCGCGTCACCTTGCATAACAAAAAAAAATCACTAGCGAATTTTAAGTTCTATTATCTTTTTCAACTTTAGTTTCAATTTAATTTTATTTTCCAACAATTTTTCCAAAACTTCTCGCACATTTTTCTCTTAATATTATATCGTAATTACATATGTACAACACTTCAAAAAAAATTTAAATGCGCAATACTTCTTACTTTAATTAACATTAATTACTAATTAAAATATCTGGATTCATTCAATAATAAATAATTAAAATTGCTTACCAATTCATTATATGTTTGAAAATGTTCTCCTCCCAACCAATCAGTTCGTTTAGGGAATACCTGTAATGACGTAACATTTTACTTAATTAGTCATCAATAGTTTTTTAGTGCAATTTATTGAGACTTCATTATTTGTTCATCTCTTCACAAAGAGTGAACTGACCTAAAGATTATATTATTCGAATAACATAAGAATTTAAAATCCTTTACTTTCTATTGTATTTATGTCAGTTCATATTTTTTAAGGGTTGAATGACCGATTTCAATCAGACATACTTTGCATAGGATTCCCCATATAAAAGTGGTGTTATGACGGAGTAAATAATTACGGAGATTCCCAGTATAAAAATCGACGACCCAAATAATAACAAAAACAAACTTTTGTAGCCCGTCTCGACAAATAGCAGACAAAAATGTCAAAAACGTTTTGCTTCCAGCTGACGTAATAGTAAATTTTTGTATTTTTAATTTTTTGTTTTCTTTATTTTTTTTTGTTTTGGTTTTGAGAAACAACATACTGAAGTTCGACCAAAAAGCAAAGAATTTGTCTAGCCAAGTTCATTTTACAAAGAAAATTATATTATAATTTTGTACCAATGAGGCACGTGGAATAAACTATTAATTCGCAATTTTCAGTATATTTTCAACTTTTGTACTTTAAAGACGTGTTAGGTTCTATATTATGAAAAAAATTTGCGACAAATGAATTTTCAACAAAAAAAAATTTTATAAACAAAAACATTGAAACTTACCTTTTTCTCTTCTAATTCTTTGATGAGGACCTGGAAAAAAAATATGAAAATTGGGCGTTATTTGTTGTATTATAATTTCATTATTTAGTTAATTACCTTCGCGGTTTCTTTTAGTGGCCCATTAAATAAAAATTTTGATATTAAAAAGTATAATTCTGTAAAGAAATTTAAATTTTTTAGTAATGATCACTAATTTTTTACTTCACAAATTTCTTTGATTTGCACAATGCATATAGAATGAAATTTTTTTTTCACCCATTAGGGGCGACATAATTTTAATTTTATAATTTTCTTATATTAATATCACTTTTATACCTGATATTATTGCTGAATTATTTACTATATCTTCAGAGTTCATTTTAAAACTATTTTTTAATATTTTTTAAAAACATTAATACACTTTTTTTCACAAAAATTCACATCAAAAATTTCTTTGTAAATTGACTCAGTCAGCCATTGCTTACTTTTATGATTTTTTTTTTGCTCGAAATATGAAATTGATTCGGGTAGTTAGCGAACACATCTGCAAAGGTAAATGGTTTGGTAGTGTGAGTAAGAATTTTAAAAGTTTGAAAAAGCCTGTTACACATGAAATGTCAAAAAGATATTTTGAAGTTTGTTCGACGCTTTAAATTAATGCATTTTACATACATATCTTTGAACAAGCTTTAATTTTTAAATTTTATATATGCACATACATACTTACTAATTTAAATTTGTTCGATTTTTGAATTTTGACATACCAAATATAGGTGTTATCACACTTTTGTAATGTCAAAAATCTGATTAATTACTAGTAAGTTCACATTTGTTTTATTTATCTCACTTTCAATCCGAAACCAAGCCATGTGTGACTAGATTTATTTGGAAATTTGAAGATACCTGAGTTTACTTCATGGTCAATTTTTTACATATCGATTTAAAATATGTTAAATTTTGAAAGAATATACATATTTAAAAATTTAAATATGTAGTAAACAAAAATTAATTTTATAATAATTCTGCGTTAAATAATAATACTTTTATTAATCAATACAAAATTATTTCTCTTCATACGACGTATAATAATATGTGAGTAAAATTTATTCTAAATATAAATTAACTACTTTTTTAAAAATAACTATTTAAATTTCAATTAATTATGTATGTAGTCATATATTAAATATATAACTATAAAAGGTATTATTTACATTCTTAATTTAAAAAGTTACATAAAACAAATAAAATAAAAAAGAAACAATACGCATAACGCACAAAAGCAAAAATATGTTAAAAATATTTTAACTAAGTAAAAAACACTAGCAAGTTATAAAATATTTAAAATAAAATCCTTGAATTTTTTTTTTCAAAATTGGCAATGTCAAGTTTTGCTTATAATACATGTTCCAGTATGGCAATGTAAACTTGAGCTCATTCGAGCGTCAATTGAGCGCGTCAATTTGATTGATGATCAGCTGAAAACATTTTTGTTTTATCTCGATAGTTTTCTGAAAAAAAAAAGCCAACAACGAAAAAATTATAATTTTATAAAATTAGTTCTTTAGTTTATAAGAATACCATAATTACGTTGAGAATGTCCTTAAATATACTCTGTAAGAAACTGGGTTACTAATATACAAATAGTTTTAGGATGAAAACACATTGGTTTAAATTTCAATAAACATAAAAAGGTGAGCTTTAAAAGAAAGTTATTAATTTGATAAAGTTATTAATTTGATAGGTATATAAAAATGTCGATACTAAATAGTAACAAATGATACTCAATAATACAAAAGAATAGTGGATTAAATTTGATTGTTTATTTTTTAATAGTGAATAATTTGCTGCAACAATGAAATACAAAATACTAAGTTGGATATTGGCAATTGTTGCTGTGTTGACTCATGTTTTCGGTTTGTTTAACATAATCCTGTTTGTACTTCTTATTCTTTTATTTTTATTTGGGTAAGTGTTAAAAAAAAGAATGGTCATAACATTACAATAATTATCATTAATTTAATATCATTCCAATTTTAGCATGCTAATAATTTTGTATACTAATGGTGGTGATCCAGAATTATGGCAAAAAGAAATGCTTAAATTTTTAAAATATTCTGAAAAGTCTAGTAATCCATTGGAATCGACACCAGAAGGCCAACGACTTGGCCTGAACTTGGGTATTAATGCTTTTAAGATAATCTTTATTTCATTATAATTTTTTTTTACTAAACTCAATTCTTTGTTTGATAAGGTTTTTTTTTTTGTTTGCACAGTCTGTGAAATCCGAAGCAAATAGTCATACATGATATAGAATATACACTATAATCTGTGAATGTATATTTGGTTCATTATTATAATTATTTATTATCATTAAAAAATTTCTTAAACATAATTAAAAAATATTCATTAGACATTTAAGATGATATTTTAAATTTTTAAAGAAAGCAGATGAATATTTTTTAATTGTGATGACGTATTCTTATAATGTGATTGATAACTTGTCTATAACTAAATTTTCTGATAAATATTGTATAGAATTATAATACAAACACAAATTACGGACTATTCAATTGTACATAGTATGTATTATTATTCAAAAACAATTCAAATATTCAAAAGCAATTTAATATTCAATTTCAGTACGATTTGCTAACGATTTCTGTAACATTGTGCATACTCGTATTATGTAAAACAATTTTTTTTTATACATTTTAAAACACATTTTTAATTTATTTTCACGTTCAAATTGCATGCTGCTGTGTTTGCTGTATTTAAGTTATTCAATTATTAATCAAATTCGGCAATAACAAAATATCTATTTTCAGTTTTATAAACATACTACATATTATATTTAATTATTTAAATTTTTTTTTGCTTTACCAGTTCTTTTTAACAAAGTAAGATTTTTCTTTTTTTTATACATAGTTAATGTATTGTTTTTACTATTGCAAAATATTCATACATATATATATATATACATGCATTCATATAAGTAATTTATTTTTGTTGTAATAATTTTTATATCTAAATGAAATCCTTAAAATCTTTTTCAAAAACTATAAACAAAAAATATAATCCAAAGCTGGTGATCAGAAACAAATTTTATTAATCGCACCTAAAATTAAAATTCAAACTGAATCAAAAAAATCGTCAAAGAGTTCTGCACATAAGCAGCAGCAATTTATTCATCATCCATTGCTGTTTGGTAGTAGTCATCATCCATTGGAGATGACAACTACTACAGCATCACCATCGCCCTCCTCTGGTCATAAAAAAAGTTTCATAGATTCAGGGATTGAAATGTTATTTAAAAAGACTGGTAAAAGTTCTGCTATAAAAGAAGGTCATCATTTAAATTTAGAAAGTCAACATCCTAGTTCGAAATCGTCTGGAGCACATGCATGTGGGGGAGACACGGATAGAAAATGGAAACCATTTGAAACAATAAAAATTTATGGTGATAAAAAGTTTGGTGGAAGTCAAGAAAAAATTAACAAAGGTATGTTTTTCATTGACGAGATTAGGAGAGGATAAGGAATTATAAAAAAAATTCGCTGATATGTATATATTTTGTTGTTAATACTATTACTTAAATACTTTTCATTAAACATATATCTTCTAAAAGTTTTTTTATAAATAATTAGTATTAATTGAGTATTTTAATTTGCGAAAATTTGTAAATTGCTTAAAAATTTCTTACTGGTCCAATGTTAAAAATAAAAAAAAATTGTATATATGTATGTATATAAAGCGAACATAAGAAAATATTTATTTAAAAAATAATTTAATAATTTTATTACATATCTTAAAAACAAACAAAATTTAAACATTTACCAAATTTACAACAACAGTTAATGTTTTGAACAAATTAATATTCAATCACATATACCCCCAATTTGTGCTATTAGTCAACAAAAAAAATTGATTTATTTATTACTAACTTACTCATATGCAGTCACTCTTTAAACTATTTTGTAATTTACGAAAATTTAAGTTTCTTACTAAAAGAAAATGATAAAATAATACTGTCCACACTAAATTTGGTGTTTTTAATAATTATGTTTCTAGTCCTCCAAAAACTATAGTAAATAGTTTTAAATTTTTAACAATCTAATATATAAAAAATCACACATACATATTTACATATATCTAACGAAATATTAAATTATTGTAGAAAACATTCAATTTGGTGAAGATATAGCATCTGCCAGTTCCACACATTCCAGTTCTTCCAATTTATCTGGCATACAACCTTACAATTATACTATTACAATAGAAAGCGACGCACATTTATTAGATGAACATGGATCACCCAAAAAGAAATTTAAAGCTATGTTAACTGGAAATAAAAAAATTGATCAACTTTTACATACTATTATTGATTATATAATCCGGGATTTTATTGATTCATGGTTTTGTTCATTATCTGACAACAAAGAATTCGGTGACTTTCGTGTACGCAATTGTATAGAAGAAAGTGTAACAAATATTTGCAACCGTATTAAAAATGTAGAATGGATTCCTTTAATGACAACAAAGCTAATAGATGACATCGCAGTTCACACAAAATTCTACCGCTTGGCAAATCAAGCTATCAGATCTGAAGATAAGACGAGTGATTCATCTTTACCGCAAAGAAAAAGTAAAAAAAACCAACATAAAAGAAATAAAAGTGATACAGATCTCAATTGGCATTTCAGTAATTATAAATTTTTTTTTTCTGTCCTAACAATATTAATTTTTCAGCATTTTAATTAAAAAATTGTTTAAATGATTTATTAAAACACAGATCAGTCATCCGCAAGCCAAAAGAGTGTTGCTAATTCTAAATTTTACTTAGAAGTTCCAGACGAGAAAGTCCTTTTAGATCCAGAAGCAAATTTGCTAAATGCCTTTTTTAACCAATGTGATCAATTTAGAAAAGAATGTAGTGACGAAATAGCATTAGAAAGTAATTACAATTTCGTTAAATATATGTATATATTTGATTATTAAATTATAGTTTATAAAAATTGTTCTCAAACAACTACGATTGCGTCAAATTTAATGCTAATTCATTTTTTTTGTATTTTGTTTTTAGAGTATTTAACCCGTATAACAGAAACTATTTTGTACTTTACATTGCCAGAGGAAGATTTTGCATGTATTCCCTTAAGAACATTTTTAAGTACTTTATTAGCCAATGTTGTATTAAAACCCTTTTTAAAAATGGTATCAGATCCTGATTTTATTAATTTAGAAGTTGCCAAATTGGTAAGTCAAATTGAAATTTTTAACAAAAGAGCCTTTTAATTTGGAAAATTATTTTATTGATTCAGATTGCTAAAGACACATTACCTGTAGAATACTTCATTAAAGCGCTTCAACAAAGTAATGATCTTTCAGAATTACGTGCATGTAGGCAATTGATAACAAAAGAAATGAATGAGGTTAATAGAATTTTGCAATCAACATTATAATGTTTAACTAGTTAAAGTTTGCCATATTTTATTTCAGAAATCTAAGGAACCATTGAAGGCAAAGGATTCTTCAATTATGTCCGAAATAAATAGTTTACGAGAAGCTCAAAATATTATAGATAAAAGAATAACTCAACTACAAAAAAAAGATACATTAGCACACGATGAAGTCGATAGTGATATTGGGGCAAAAAAGTTGCCTATTTTAACATTGGATGAGCTTTTATTCAAGGAGTTAGCACGATCATATTTTTTAGATTATTTAAGTACTCTTAATTTGCAAAAATATGTGATATTTTATTTAAGAGCTGACGGTGAGTTTTATTTTTAAAATTTCAAACATAAAAAATTTTCAAATTTTACTTCTTATTTTGAAACATAGAATGGAAGTGCATTGCCAAACATTCAATAGTTGAATTACAAAGTAACCGTAGTAAAAGTTCAAAAGAAGAAATTTATTGTAATTTAAAGGAAAGAGCTCAAAACATTTATATAGAGGTGAAAAAATAAAGCAAAACATAAATAATTTTTATATATTTGATATTACACTTTTTAGTACCTGCAAGCTTCATCTAACAATTTCATACAAATAGACCAAGGATTAATAGAAGCACTTTCAATTAAGTTGAAAGATCCAACGATAGTTCCAGAGCCAGTGTGGTTTGATTCAATATGTAAATTTGTTTACGAAAAGTTAAAAAATGAAGAGATATTTTTGTCAAAATTTTATCAAAGCACATCTTATAAAAAATTGCTTCGTGAACTAGAAGTATGTGTTGATGACGTTAGTACTCATTCATCTCATGATATACTAGGAGGCTATTTAGACAATTATAGTGAATTTCCTGAACATTGTTTGGGAAACTTGGGCGGTGGAAGTGGTGGTAGTGATTCTAATTCTGGTGATATAAATTTTGATGATGATATGTTAGATTTAGTCGTTCATACAACAAGCGGTAGTGGTGGAACAGGTCCTCAAATGCAAATTCAAAATATCGATCCATTAAGAGCGGACCAAACTGATCAAAGCGTATTACCTTTCAAATCAAATAAATATCCGTCTGTTCAGATTCCTCCAGCAATGCCAAAGCCTTCAAAATTAGATGGAGCAAAAGTAATGACACCAGATTTGCTTGATATAACGTATAAACATTCCAGATCACATAGTGATTGTACTGGTATAAATCCATCAATGTTTTCTGATTTAAGTGATAGCGGTAGTTCAAATCAATCTTTAAGTCCTTATCATGGGCAACATTTACAATTATCAGAAGAGCAACAACAACGCGCAAAAAGTGCCCCCACACAAAGAAATCATGAACAATATTTGGCTAGCCGTCCAAAAATTGCTGCAAAAATTATTAATACTGCTATACTAAACGAAGGTCAATATGCAGTATATGCGGTCCACGTTACGGTAGTTGAAGACAAGGAAGAAAAAAGTTGGCACATTTACAGAAGATATTCTAAATTTTTAGAACTAAAAAAGATGCTGGTTAAAAAGTATCCACAAGTAGCTCGGTTACCTTTCCCAGCAAAAAAAGCTTTTCAAAATACACAAAGAGTCGTTTTAGAGCACAGAATGGTTTTGTTAAATGAATTTTTAAGATTTTTATGTGAATGGTCAGAGAACAATGCTGGCTTAATGAAAAATTTGCGAGATTTTCTGGAACCAGACACGGATGATCGGAAAATTCACGGTGGAGCTATGGAAAGAACTGTATTCACTTTTGAAATTTTTATAAACATCGTTTCATAAAGCTTGTCTATTTTTTTTAGATTGAAACACTAGTAAACCCTTTGAAAAGTGGAATGCGTACAATAAGAAGTATGCCAGATACATTAGTAGGTGGTTTCTCAAGAATGTTACTTGGAAAAGGCCCTCTAAAGGAACAAACTTTGCTTGAAATTAATATAGAGGTTTGGTTTTTATTTTGAAATTATTTGCATTTTATTTAATTATTATTAGTTTGTTTTGTCAATAATAAAGATTAAGTCAATGAGCAAATATAATTTTAAACAACACTTTTAGCAATCGGAATACCCGGCACTAAATTCGGCAATTCACTTACTAGATGAAGTATTTGATTTGCAAGCCAGATCACAGTGGTTACGTCGTGGTATAATTAATAGAGTGTTAGGAGCACCATGGGTTAGTCAAACAGCTAATAAAAAAATTGTCCACCACGCTAAATCCTTAATTGAATTAGAGAAAATTGAACAGTTGTTGGGAAGCGTAATGTAAATTTTTAGTTTTTATTTCGTAAAAATAGTAAATATTTATAATTTTTTTGATTCTTTCAGTAAAAGTATATGGCCGGATGGTAAATCATTTCGTAAGAATTCACCTCGTGACGATACTACAAAATTACGTACTAGAGTTGCAGCACAAATGTCATTATTCACTTTATTATTTGATGATTTAAAACGTGTAGTTGGCTCAGAAACTACACGTCACGGTCTTTTAAATTTATTTGAAATGTGGCAACATGGAAAACTTAATTTACGTTTAGCTTTGATATTATTAAATGATGTATTAACATGTGTGTATAAAGTTGAGAGTATGACTGCTCATGTCCAGAAGGATGAATATTAGAAATTTAGAACATTATTATAATTATAAGCATAAAGAAATTACTATATATTATACGATATTAAAATTAGATTAAAATATTTTTTTAAAAAATTGTAATTTATATGTATTTAGGATTGTGCAATTATTTAGCTGAAATTTTATTTTCAAATTGTATTGTATGTAAAATTGTAAGAATTTAATTTATTTAAATAAGTTAAGATATATTTGATAATTTTGATGTAGTAATTTTGCTAATTTAATAACAATTTATTTTTACCATTTTAAGTAATATATTTTAAAAAAGAATGTTTTGTATTAAAGTTTACAGGAAATATTTTTTTAAGTGCAATAGTGTTATACCGTTTATTATACAATATAGCAAAAAGTTCAATTGTAATAAATTTATTTGAAAACAAAAGAAAAGAATTTTCTTTGTAAATTAATCATGGCAAACGTTTTCATAATTAAATTTTAGTTTTGCTTTTCGTTTATTATACAGGGCCGGGAGGGCAATACTTGAATGTGTGAAAAAGGATACAAAACAAAAGAGGCTAAATGAAAATATCAAATAACATAATTTACATATATTTGTATATTTTTTAAATTTAAAAAAACTTAACGAAAATTATCAACTGAAATGCATACTATCCCCACCTCCACAGAAACCAAACAATATTTATTATAAAAATTATTTTACGATAATGTTTCATAAATTATTAAAATTATTTTTTTAATTATGATTTATAAAGTATTTGAAATAAGTTACTAAATTTTAACAAATTGAACAACATAATTCAAGGTAAATTAATATTTTAAATGTTAATAAAGATGAAGAAAATTTACTGAAAGGATTCGAATACTTTTAATGGATTGATTAACTTAAATCAATTCCATTATAAAACTCTTTTCAAACTAGAAATGCATATATTACATAATTAGTTATTAAGATCGTGATCGTGTAATCTCGCTTTTTTACTCAGCAAGTGAGAAGATGATAACTTACGATATGAGAAGATGACTTACAAAATGAGAAGAATTTTTCCGTACTGCGTATAATACAATGTATACATATTAAATTTAGGTAATCATTATTTATTCATTTTATTTTTGTAAGTGATAAGTTCAGTCGATATTTAAATTTGATAAATTCACGTGATAAATAATCGAATAAAAAAATTGCAAGAATCCAATTGTAAAAATATGTAAGAGATATACAATTATGCTGTAAAGCATTTTGTATGGGATACATACATTTTGACGACACAATGATAATATAAATTTAATTACATTACTTACCTATAGTATACCGACATATTCGTATTATTTATGTATTGTTATTAATTAAACATTTCAAAATTAAAGATTTCAATATATTATATTATAAACATAATTTAACTATTTTCGTTTTTTTTTAAACATTTTTAATTTAGATTTTGTGAATTTAAAAATAATATACAAATAAGAAGTAATTAAAATTTTCTAATTAATTTATATCAAACCTCTAATATTATCAATTATGATGATATAAATTTGAATAATTTAATCGAAAAAGAAAAAATTCATTAAAATTAAATTAGATTTCAATTTCTTTGCTTTATTGTAATATTGTATTAAAGAAAACAACATGAAATAAATTTATTTGTTATATATTATACTTTATTTTTATTTTAGCATCCAAATATTTAATGTATAAATCTATAGCGTATTTAAACTAGACTTATTAAAATTTAAAATCTAATAATTATATAAATATATTTATATATCTAATAAATATAAATATATTTAAATGTTTTGTTCTATTTTATTATTATTAACTTTTCTTTTTCTTTTTTTTTTGAATATTTAAATTAAATTTTAGTTTATAACCATTACTTGCCGATTCATGCAGGTTTTTCTTTTTTTAAAATAGTACATTTACTTATACTTGTGATAAATGATTTAAAAAATTGTGTTTTTATATCCAAAAAAATTTTTTTTTACATTAGTCTTAAATAATAATTTTTAATTTAAATAATTGTAATTATTTTAAAGAATTTTATATAAATGTATATATATATTTTTGTTTTTAAATAAAAATTAAGTGAAAATTATTATATAAAATTTTATTGGTATTTATTTTATTAAGTTTCATTCAAAATATTTTGATTTCATTAAATTGTGTAATTATAAATTTTCAATTTCTTTTTTTTTAAATATTAATATGTTTTCCATTTATTTCCAAAAAATTTATTTATTTGATGATATACAGATATGTTAAAGGAAATTAATTATTATATTAAATTCAAGACTAATAAAATAGTATTAAAAATTTCAAATATAAATTTTATTAATATGTCAAATATTGTAATTTTAAATCAAATTAATAATTCAAATACAATAATTCCAAAAATCAATTCGCTAAAATAATAGGGTACTAAACAAAATATAAACTGGGAGAAGTTTAAAGATAAAAATTTACAAAAATTTATAAATTTATTAAAAAAAAATTTTTAAAAAATAGTTTTTACGAAATATTTTTAATAATTAAATCCGATAGCAATGGTTAATAATAATTACAAAAATTTTATTAAAAATTAAATTTCATAGATTTTTGTATACAATGCGATTTTATTTGAAATTCCTTTTCTTATTTATAAGTATTTTCTTTATTTATATAATAATAATAATAATTTAATTAAAATATACATTTTTTTTTATTATATACATATTTTTTTTTTATATTTATAAATATATATATATATGTAAAAAGGTAGGTAAAAATATAAAACCAAACTTATAAATTTAAAAAAAAAAATTTTTTTTTATTTGTTTTTTTTTATTTTATGTCTACATTTATATTATGTAATTTTATTCATTTTTTTTTTATTTAAATTTCAAAAATTAAATTAAAAATAATTAAAATATGATTATTTATTCCTGCATACTTTTTCTTTTTCCTTTTAATTTAATTATTAAAATGTAAGAACGTCTACCATAATGCAAATTTAATGTCAACTTGATTTAATCAGAAATACTGTTTTATTAATAATGAATATGTCAATTTGACATTAGATCTGAAATTTGGTACACACCTTAATTTTCTTTAAAAATCTACAGTATTTATAATTTTTTTTTTAATCGCTCAACGAATTTAAAAATAAAAAAAATTTTAATTTAATTTAATTAATATAGTAATTTAAAATACAAAAAATTAAATGAAAATAATTAAGTTTTTGAGAAAAAAAATTTTTTTTGTAGCATCTTACATTACATTAACTTAGAGGTACGTAAAAATTATCATTATATTTCAGTAAACAAAAAAAAAAAAAACAAAGAAAAGAAATAATTTAAATTATTTAATTTTAAAAATAATTGCAATTAAATTTAAAATAAGAAATTGATGTGAAATAAGCAATTCATCAACTACTGAAATATTTATTTTTCATGAATCATAGAGTAAGTGTTTATTCCTGTCTAAAAATGTTTTACATATTTCAAATGTACACTTTATAAATTGTTATTGATATGTTTTACATAATATTATATAAATATTTTTTATTTGTATTTATTAAAAACATAAAATTTAAATTTAATTAAGAAAATAATAAAAAGACATGTTAAAGATGAAATTGTAAAATTTTTTAATACACATGTAAATCATGCAATTTTTGAAAAAACAATAGCTAAATTAAATTGACCTCAATAAATTAAAATTGTCACCCCATATTCTTTTAGTCTTAAAAATTATTTTAGTTTTAATCATAGTATTTCAAATTTTTTGAATAACAATCCATAGTGTCAAGTGATGTCACTGACAGAATATGATGGGTGTACATATGTTTTTTCTTGTCATTAAATTTATGTGAACAGAAAAAAAATTTTTTTTTTGTACTTTTTAATTTTAGGATTTCAAAAATTTTGAGGGTTAAAAAAAAATTTCAATTTCTTGAATTTTCTTACTAATAAAACGAATCATTGTCTATATGTGTGATTCAGGAACATAAAAATAAAGATTAGTTTTTTTTTTTTTTTTGCTATAGATTTCTCGATATTGCTTCGTTTTTTTGCAAATTTAATAATTCTAATCGAATAATAAAAATACAGAAGAAAATTCAAGAATAATATTGAAACAGGCGTTCAACTTAAAATTATCGTAATTTTTGTGGGCTCAAAAAAAGAACAATGATTTCTTTGAATTTAGACTTTATAATTATTAGAAAAAAAATTTTTTATTTTTTTTTTTGTTTTATTATTTTTTGTGAATTCAAAAATACATTTTGTATATTATTCTTTTCTTCTTTTTTTTTTTTCATTCCTTGATTAATTAAAATTTATTTTAATTTTTTTTTGTTATTTTTGTCTTAATTTTAAATCTTAAACATTATTATTTTAAATACAAGTAGCTATATTTATAATGTTTACATAATTATTAAATATATTTTGTATATTTTTTTGAATTTTAATCATTGTACCTTTCAAAAATTTTAATTAAATTTAAGTGTTTTTTTTTTTTTCATTAATTTTTTTTTATTTTTTTGTAAGAAAAAATTTATTTATTTTATATTTACATACGTTACATACATACAAATTATGTATAATAATTACTAGATGAGTTTCCTTAAAATTATTAAAATTTATAATTAATATTAATGTAATTTTTAAATTTAAATAAATGAAAATTTTTTAATTAAATTTATTTGGATTACGCGCATTAAAAATAATATAAAAAAAATGATTGCTTTTCAATTGAAGACTTTTTTAGTTTTTTTTTTTTTGTGATTTTTACATTTTTTATTAAATTTTTTTTTACAAATAAAATTTTCACGTTTATTTTTATTTATTTCCTCCCCAAAAAAATTTTATGTAGTTTTGTTGTAATTTGTTTTTTGAAACATTAAAAATAAATATTTTTTGTTTCTTTATTACTCGTATATTCTTCAAAAATTTATTGAGAAAAACAACCACATACGAATAATATTTAATTAAAAAAACAATTGGCAATAATATTCTTGCATAATAATTTTTTTTTGTGTTATTTTGTAGTTCCAAAAGAATAGTTTAAAACTTAATATTCGAATTGAAGTGCCTGCCTTATTCTATTTTAAATAATTAATTTAACATGAAGAGATTTTATTTTATTATTTAATTTATTATGTATGTACATTATTTAAATAAACATTATTTATGTGGATCATTTAATTAAAAACACAAAAAATAATAAATTGGAAAAAAGAAAGCCTCATTTTTTTAATTTGTTATTTTTCAATATTTTTATATTTGATTTGATTTTAACAAATTTATCATAAAATTTTTGTATTCAATATTTAATTATTTAATTCAATAAAAAATTATATTAAAATTTTTGCAAAATTATTTATTAATTGTATACTATTGTTATTTTAACAAATTATTGAATTTGAAATTTTCTGAAAATTAATTGAAAAACGGAAATTATAAAATAATAAAACAAAAATAATATAAAATTTTCTTTCAATAGAAACGTTTTCAAAATTATATTTCATATACATATTATGTTTGTTTAATAGTATTAATTAAAAAAAAAAAATATTCTAATTACATTTTATATAGTATGTATTTAAAGAATTATAAGGAATAAAATGAAAGTCATTTAAATATAAAATTTAATGAAAAGTTTGTGAATTTCTTAAAAATTGTCAATTAAATAAAAATAAAATAAAATGTAATTATTTATTTTAAACAAAAATAATATTACATACATATTTATAAATTTAAATTTTAAAAATTTTTTTTTAAATTAAAAATTCTTTTATTGTAAATTCTATATAACATGAAATTATTAGTGTTGATACTCGTAACAGTATTTTCTTTGAAATCAGAATATTTACCAATATTGGACAAAAATGTTAAGGATATTGATGAATGTCACTTCTGATGATTTCATCATTAGAAACATATATGTATACCCGTCAAGAACATCTGTTACAATTATCAATATAAAACGAAATACATTGTATGTACAATCAAGCAGAATGGTAGTAAACAGTCAGGAGAAAGACAAATTTTTCGTACGATTTGTGGAAAAAAAAATACCAAATCTTTTAACTTAAGCAAATTAGATTCCTGATACATTTACAAAATCCAGATGATATTCAAATATAAGTACAACAATTCTTATCTGCTTGATAATATTTAATTTGATATTGATAATTATTATTAGTATTTGTATCACTGTAAACTGTGAAAGTTGAAAGAATAAGTTGGAATTACCTGATGCCGCAAAGAATATCATGTATTTGTAAGAAAAATTCTAATAGAATTTGATTAGTCTAAATATACCATTATGCCACATCAATTTATTTTGATAATGAAAGCATAGTTGCATTATTATTAAATAACACTAGTTATTTTAAACCAAACCTATACATACGAATGTCGATTCAATATCAATAAAGTAGAGAAAAACAAAATTAGAACTTCATAAAATTTTAGCTGACCAATCGTAAAATTTTTAAAAATATAATTATAAAAATTAAAGCACTAAATTTAAAGAATCTATTTTTTTTTTTTAAATTTTTGAAATCATATTCTACCAAAACTCAATAGAAAGCAATCTAATTTTCTATGGAAAATAAAAAATTGAATAACTGATGCTAGTTATAAAATTTAATTAAAGTGTGGAAGCTATTTGAGGAGAATTTTATCAATCTTACAAATCTAATAATTATTTATTCTTTTATTTTTTTTATTTTATTTCCTTTTTTTTTTTCTTTTTAATATTAATAGACTTATATCTAAATTAAAAATATGTTAAAATCTTAAAAAAAGAAATTAAATTACATTTTTGAAAATTTTTTGTTTTCAAATGTATAAGTTATATTTATATATATATATATATATGTATATATTATATTATATTTTAAAAAAAATAGTAATAAAATGAACTTATTCACAACGAAATTTTTGTATATTAATATTAATGTGTCTCAATTAATTAGTGTGCATTTTCATTTTTATATTTTTGTTTTTGTGTGTATATACGTGCATTTTAAATAAAATTAATAAAATTTTCTTTTATCATGTTTTTGTGTTAATGTCATCCTATTCTATTGTCCTTTATCTTTACCAGGTCCACCAACATTAATACCTAATAAATGTTCCCCAGCCATTAAACCAGCTGTTGTTGCACCAGGTTGATGAGCATAATTTCTAATTTGATGTAATGATATTAATTGATTTGGGAATGCATTTGCAGCGTTCTGATTTACAGCATTTTTTGTTTGAAATTGTAATGCATCATATAAATATGGACGTTGTGTCATTGGATGATGTCCTAAACCATTTATATGTGATGGTATTGTATTAATTGGTGTAAATGCTGAATTTGTTGTAGTTTTTGTAATACTACTAGCATCATAATTACCAGCAACAATTCCATTTACTTGAGCTTGTGCTGCAGCTGCAATAGCTGCTGCTGCAGCAGCCGAACTTACTACAACTGTTTGTGGTGAATTTTGTTGTTGACCTAAATGTTGTTGTACACCACCATTTGTACTTGAATTTTGTCTTAAATCTTCACCTTCTTCATTTGAATTAGAATTACCATTTGTATTTGGACCACTACTACTTCTTTGTTGTTCTAATAAACTACGATGATGAGCCTGTAATTCATTTTGTTGTTGTTGTTGCTGTTGCTGTTGTTGTTGTTGTTGTGCTGCTACTAATGCAAAATCATAACCATTTTGATGTTGTTGTTGCATTGCTTCTGCTAATGTTGCCGCTGCAGCACTATCAGTACTTACTTTTGGCCAATAACCTAAACCAGCAGCGGCCAGCGCTGCATTATTATTTATATTTATTGTACCAGTATTACCGTTAACAATATTTGAACTACCGCCAGCATTTGTGATATTATTATTATTGGAATTACGTGATTGTTTTTCAGCTTTTTCAATATGCTTCTGAACATGTTTCTGTAAATATGTTTCTTGTGTATAGCTTTTACCACAAAAACTGCATATATGCGTTTTTAAATGTTTTGAATCTTTATGTTTTGGTATATGATCTAAGAGAGCTGTTTCACTTTCAAAACATTTATAACATGAATTACATTTATATGGCTTATCACTAGCATGACAACGAGAATGTGATTGTAAATTTGATAATTGTGAAAAGGCTTTTTGACAGCCTGGATGTCTACATTTATATGGTTTGTCACCAGTATGTGTTCGGATATGTTGTTGTAAATGAGATAATTGGGTAAATTTTCTTTGACATATTTCACAACGATATGGTTTTATTCCCAAATGTATACGAGTATGTTGTGATAAATAACTGGAATTAGCAAATGATTTTGTACATTGTGTACATTTATATGGTTTTGATTCACCATGATTATTATTTCGATGATGATGATGACCACTACCACCTCCACCACTACCTTGATGACCACTACCCATTTCAGATTTTGGGGTAAACAACTAAAATTAGAAAAAAAAAATATGATAAGTTTATAGAAAAATTATTTTATTTTTTATGTTTATGGTATGTAGTATGTACTAAATATAAATTGAAATGAGTAAATTATGCTTGCTATCGGTTTAAAAATTTTCCTGTATAATAATTTAAATATTATTATACATACATACGTAGGTATTAATGTAACAAATTATGTGATATATGCAATTCTGAAATGTATACGATAAATGCAATTCCCGAATGTCAATAGAAAAGTTTAGAGTCAACATAGACTTAAACAAAAACATTCACCGCAATGAAAGTGGGATGGGACTGACATAACAAAAAAATAATTAATTTTTGGTCAATTCTTATTATTTAATCAATATTAAATTTCCTTTTAACCAACATTAAATTACTGTAGAGTGTTATAATCTGAGTTCTTTACCTCCTAGATTTAAAAAAAATTTTCTTATCAAAAATTTTTTGGATGATACAACCATTTATTAGCACCTACTAATATACATACATATTATACATACATATACATATCCATGAATGTCAAACACAAAAATAAGATTATAAAAAAAAATTTAACCGCAGTCGGTAAATTTAGTTACACCAAAACTAAATGAGGAAAAAAAAGGAACATAAGAAAGACTATTTAACTGTTTCAAAAGACATTCCATATAGCATTAGATTTATACCATAAGTACCAACAGTGTGGTGTGGTTGCCACCACACAAAATATAGAAATAACAAAAATGTAAAAAGTATGACAGCTCAGTAACATGAATAATTCCAAGGGGCAGAAGAATTCAAGTATGTATTTACATATACATATATGTATAGTTGTTATACTGTAGCACAATAATATAATATGTGCACAAAATTATCGAAAATAAAAACAATAAAAAAAAAATGTATAATGAAAACATTGTCTACATTCAACAACATGTAGTTAACATCACGATGTTACACAGAAAAAAAAAAAAACTATAGGAATAAAGTGTATATTATAAAGGTCCGAATCTATATGTTATAAAACAATATTATAAAGTAAAATTTCACATGTGCACATGCACGTATAAGAAGAATATACGGACATATATATCTTGATGTGTAATTTAGACGAAAAGAAATAAAAAGACATAAAAATTAAATAAGAGACTTTAGGTTACAAATAATTCGACCTTGACAGAGAAGAATAGTAAATATTGTAAAAAGTGTTAGCAGATTTCTTCTTTTAATGGTTATACTATTTTTTTTTTCTTTTGGTTTTTTTAGGTTAATTTTCAATATTCTTTCTACGACAGCTATGTATATATTTTGTATGTATATGCATTAATTTCCTTAGTTATTCTCATTTTTTTTTAACATTAAAATCAGCATAACTATTGAATGCTAAAGAAATAAACGTATCATTTTTTTAATAGTATAATAATAGTAAAAATATCTATTGTAACAGCATATAAGTGTCCTACATCTATGTCATAAATTATTAAATAAAAAAATGAGAATACAGTTCGCTTCAGTCTCCTAATAGTATGATTTATAGCAGCCTAATCGTGTATCTCGCTGTTTTTTACTAAGTATTTCATTTATCTAATAAGATTACTAATTTTTTTCAATTTAAGGGATTTTTCTCAATTTATGAACTGAATGTGCCTCAGTTTCAAAAACAAAGTGAATAAATATTTTGTATTCTTTTTAGAAAAAAGAAGAGAATAATTTTTCTCACTCGAAAATTACATAATAGTTACTAACTTGCTTCTCACTTCCCGAGGAAAACAGCGAAACAGACGATCAGGTCCTAAAAAAACTGAACGAAATTTGCACGATTGCTTCTCGACAATTTTAATTATATTGTGTATATTTTTTCATCTATTGATGTAAGTTTTTTTATTGCATGACAATTGAGGGTTAAAATACACAAAATACATTATATTTTCTACATATATGTAGGGTAAAATTGACTCTCCCAATCTCTAACTCTATTAATTCAATAATTTTGTTTTCTCTTAAACACAAATGCTCGTATAACATTTTATTTACTCACATAGAATAATTTAATTTTTTGTATTGTAACAATATTTAGTGTGTGGCAAGGGGTTATTAAATTTTAATTTTTCCGTTTTTATTTCAATGATTTAGCGTAAAATTATTCTATATGTACTCGTATTTAGTTGATTAGGATACATCGGTAAAATAGCTATTAAATGTATTTTTTGTAATATTTTTATTTCTAATTTGATATCTAATATAATTTTGCTATGTAATTAATCACATAATAATATACATATAATACACATATGTACGTACACATGTACAAATTGAATGTCAAATCATTAAAATATGCCTAGGTAGAATTTGAATGAGAATCTTAATTACAAATACAAAAATAGACAAGAAAGGTGTATTAAACGCAAAAAATTATGTAAAAAATATTAAGATGAATAAATTTCATTTAAAAAAATGTAATAAGACGTCTTTTTTATTTAATGTTTATGACATTAGAACAATTTCAAAATTTTTACATTCAGCGAATTAATGTTCTTTTTTAAACAATATCTGGCAACATTGAAAATATTATTATAAAATATCATTGAGAATTAATCAATCAATATCACTTATGATTTTCTAATATCCCAAAGATATGCAATTGAAATTTTCGTAAGTGCATACATACATATACATACATACTTGTATACGTCTTTAATAATAATTGCAATAATAAATAATTATTACATATGCATATACAATATACTTGCTATACTTATATGGTATACAGTTGCTTAATTCTTTAAAAGTATTTAGTCAATGTCTTAAAAACATTTGTTAATGTTTACTTAATTCAAGTAATTTTCAATTTGTATACATTAAAACACTTTTAAAGTTGCAAAAATTAGAACAAAAATTATGTGTATCTATTTTAACAAAAGTTAGCTTAAACAATTAAGTAATTTAAAGTGAATTACAGTTGAACCTAATTAGTTGCACCATTTAAAATGTCAGAAGAAAATAGAGAGAAAGTTCTAATACAACGGTAGCATTTATGTAAGTATTTTATGGCATTAAATTAATTAAAGCTCGATTTAATGAGAAATTGAAGTCATGTACATAGATACATTGAGAGTTTCTATATTTCTATATTTAAAGTTTTAAAGTAAATTTTCTCGAAAGCCCAAAATCAAGATATCAGAACGAAGGTAGAATATCGAATATTGCTTAAAGTACTATCCGATCATCATTCACATTTAATTTTAACCATTAATATACAATTTATTTTTAATTCTTTATTATTTTTATTCAATAATACGTTCAAATATTGCAACTTGAAACTTTAAAGCAGGCATGTCAAATTAATTTATGCTCATGGGCCATTTTAGTGTTACCATACATTGCTCCATGCCGCACCATAAAAAAATCACAAATTACATAAATATTAATATAAACACAATAAAAAAATACAAATATTAAAAACTGATACAAAATTATATATAAAAAAACTTTTCTTTAAAAAAGAATATTGGCTAAATTGACTAAATCTTCGAAATTAGAGTGAATTTTATTGACAGTTATAATTTTTATTGAACATGTTCTTAAACATGGTTCATGAATCTTTATTTTTCGGCGTTTTATTATTTTTTAATATCAAAAATAATTGTTCACACAAATATGTGCTTCCAAATATGTGCCTAGCCTATAAAATATTGAGAAATTTGTAGATTGATATTGGTAAATAACTCTAAAATTTTGATACTTCCAATTCCGCTTATTTTTATTTTAAGACAAAGTCGCACTGTATTCCGATAAGTTCCAATAATTGTCAATTTACATCAACTGCTTCAATATCGTTAGAAAAAAAAAACAGAACTTTGTGTTACAGGTGATAGTTTTTGATAATTTAATCTAATAAAAACATTCAGAAAATTTCAAATTCAGTGAAGTTTTTAGTAATTATTGACAACATTTTGACAAATCAATCAATTATTACTTTCAGGGATCTGAAAAAGAAGACCTCCTAAGAACCTTCACATCCGAACGCTGATTTAAACATTTTCTTACTGATCTAGAAGAATATTTGTAAAAATAAAATTTTATAATTTCCAAAAATCGTAACGGGCCGCAAGATTCAGAACCTGGGCTGCTTTTTTGATATGCCTGCTTTTACTATTCAAATAATTATTTTCATACACATATATACATATGTACTTACATAATATATACAATTATTTTATACAATTTATGTTTATATATGAGAAATATATATATTTTATATGTTTCCTCCCCTTTCATGTTGCACATGTTTTGATAAAAAATAATTTTTATTTTTTTTTTCTCTTTCGTTTTTTTTTTATTTATTTTTTAAGAAAAAATTCTTTTTTAATCAGATATTTTATTATACAATTCATGCTACTTGCGGTTTAAAATGAATTTTATTTTTTATTTGAAAAAAGACGGAAAAAAAATAGACGAAGAACAAATAAAAAATTGAATTTGAAAATTGTATTTTTCTTTAAAATGTTTAGATAAAAAAAAATTATTTTATATTCAAGCATGTTATTATTGTAACAAAAAAAAAAGAACGAAATTTACGCGCCACTACTATACGAAATTTTTCAAAATAATATGCATCATCTTAAATCATATGTTAGCGTATATGTTTTATGCCGTACAGCTAAATTCACATACGTTCACTCACATATGAGTTTGAGTATGTTTAATAACAAGTACACATATAATTTCAGATACAATAAGTACAGCGTGATGGTATTGAATTTAAACATACTATTATGAAGAATAAAATTTTTATAAAAGAGTGGACATATTATGAATATTATTTTTAGATTATGATACCATGGTATTACAAAAGTTAATAGTGTTAACAATTCATTAATGCTCAATTTTTCTAAAAGCAATTAAAAATTAATATTAATGTCAAAAAAATTTTCTCATATCAAATGTTTTTGCCTTATTTCTAAATAACTTTTGCCCGATTTTTTTTTGTAGTTTTAC